TTGGTGAAGGGAAAAGCCACCTCGGATGAAGTGAATCGCCAGGACCGGAAATTCATTGGTCGTGGTTTGGAAGCATACTCATGGCAGATAGGCTGGAAACATGTGCCTGTACTCACGCTTGCAAGCTCAAGCGATAGATCAGCGTGGCAATATACATGTACCCCCAGACGCCACCTCTTGCTGTCACAGGACACTGCTTCCACGCTGGTGGCCGGTGATGAGACGCAGCAGGCATTCCTTGGCTTTCCCAAGTTAGGGCTCTCAGGTCCAGGGATTTAGAGTTTGGGGTTGAGAGCTATGAGGGCCTATAAGGGAGTAGAGGGTTCAGCAAGCTTCTGTGCTTGAGTGTCTTTATACATGTGGATTATTGGCTGTATGGGCCTCGAGTTTTATGGGGTGAACCACCACCACCACCCACCAGCACCACCAGCACCACGACCACCACCACGTTAAGGTTATAAACGCCCACAACAGACCGCCACCGCTGTTATCACCTCCAGGAAGTACCATGGCTAAATTGCTATTACATAGTATTTCTCTCATTTCCACCAACATCAATATTTTTACTATTATTCTTGCTACTACCATTACTATTACTATCAATAATATCATTACTAATATTCGTATTAGTATTACTCTTACTATCACTATTTTCGCTGTTTAGGACTCATGGGCTGGAGCTGATGCAATATGCCATTCCTACATGGGTTCTTTGATTCAAGGTCTGTTTTCCTTCGGATTTAGGGGCTTTTACCGTAGGCCTCGAGGGGTACATGGTTTATAGGACCTCGACCTTAGGACCCGGCGTAAGAGCGGACGTGGGGCTTTATATGTTGCATGGGCCTTGAGGGTTCCAGCTCGCTTTGCGAAGAGGGTTGCGGTGTTCATTCCGATGGTTTTGTGAACTGAAGGTCTATTTACCTTTGGAGTTGGGGCTTTATAAGTTCTATTCTATAGGACTCCAAACCCATGCCCCAGACCCCATGCCATGACGCCCTAAGCCTTAAACCTTGGGGCTGGTCTTTTCAAGCTCTTGGGCTTGCGTCTTAGGCAGGCTGTTCTTGGTTTTAGCGTTTAGGGCTTGGGACTTGGGAGTTGGTGTTTAGAGGGATAGCTTTTTAGGGCCTAGGCCTAGGCATTAGAGGGCTTCGGTGGGTAGGATAGCTATTGTATATGGGCCTTGCGAGGAGGTTTTCGTCTTTCAGAAGAATGGGCAGGGGCTGATGCAATTCCTACATGGATTCTTGGACTGAAGGTTTATTTGCCTGTAGGGATATCGGGCTTTGAAGGTTCTATTCTACAGGACTCCGAGGGTACATGGTTTATAGAGGGCCTAGGCATTAGGATGCGGTGATGAGAAGTTAGAAGGCTTTGGTGGTTAAGGGCGGAGCGAAAGACGCCATGTCTACGTGGAATCCATCTGCATGAAGGCATATTTCACTCATGGGGCTTTATTGTATGGGCCTTGAGGGTTTTAAGGTCAGGTTGCGAAGAGGATTTCGGTGTTTAAGAATCACGGGCAATAGCATGATGCAAGGTGCCATTCCTACGTGGATTCTTGAACTGAAAGTCTATTAACTTTCGGATGTGGGCCTCACGCAGTACATGTTGTAGGGCTTATAGGCATTATTGAGCGCGGTGTTAGGGGGCCTCAGTTGTTAAGGATCGAGCATGTGGACTCATCTTCTTGAAGGCTTATTCACTGGCGGACTTGGGGCTTACCGTGTTCTGTTCTATGGGCCTTGAGAGTTTTAAGGTTTGGGGCCGAAAGGGTTTTGGCTTCATGCGTCCTTTGGCGCTTGAGGGCTTGAAGATTTTCGAGAGGAACATGGTTTAGGGCCTATGGGCATGAGGACGCTGCGGTTAGGGGGGCTTCCGTAGGATCGTAGGACATGTGGACACATTTTGCCAAAGCTTCATTCCCCGGCGGACTTGGGGCTTTATGCGTTCTGCTTTATGGGCCTTGAGGGTTTTGCAGTTTGGGGCCGATGGGCATTACGAACTACTTGCTTTCGGGTTTGGGACTTGATGTATTCTATGGATTACGGCGCAATTTTTACAGGCCTTCAGTGTCTCAGGATGATGGGGAGCCGTGATCTCTTGACTCTAAAAAATCTAGTAACACTGACCCATGCATGGAGGACCTAGATGTAAGCCCATGTTCAATGAGGATGTTCTCTTTGCGGACCGGAAGACTGCAACGCCATCCCTGCACGTTGAAAGCATTGAAAGCCTTCCTAAGCCCCTAGAACTAGCTAACAGACTCCGCACAAACC